TCTCTCGAGTTGAACTCAGCTCGATGACTTTATGGAGGTGACCTTGTTTCCTTGGCAACAATAGATATGGTTGTCATTGCCTTGTTTTATTTATTCTACAGCCCCTGAAGCATAACGGAGCTTGCAAATGAAATCTTTGAAAAGGCTTTATAATGTTTCCCAATTAAATGGAGAACAATTACTTATTGCATGTTTGCTTGGATAGGAAACACAACTCTTTAGTATACAGCAGGATCCAATCTGGGTCGGTCACACTCCAGCATGACTCCGAAAGCTCAGAAAACAAAATTTCTGGTTCCGGTGATGGACCCAGATTGGATCCTGCAGCATTTTCCTGGGACATGTATATTCACCTTCATTCATTGTTAGTATACATCCACACCTAGCAACCTAGCATTCAGAAGACCAGAGGCTGCAATTGTATTTCTAAACAAATATTAATCTCAGATACACAAGTATAAACTTACATCTAGCTAACTTGAAGGAGAGATTTGATTTGAAAAATTGTTTGATATAATCAGTGCTTTTTGTAAAAAAAAAAAAAAAAAAGGTGCCGGAACTCACACACGTCATACAACCTGCCTTGCCTACCCTACAAGGTTCCATCCAAAAAAGGTGCCGGAACTCTGGATATAATATTAGAGGAATGTGTTCAAGAGATGTTATCTTGGTATATCAGTAGAAATATAAAATCTGTTTGCAGAAACCCAGAAAATTTGCACTGCTCAGTACGGAAATTTCAAAGTGGTCTCCCAACCTAAAACGAACTAGATCCAAACCTGCTTATCATTTTCAGATTGCCTATAGGCCCTCATCTTATAATTGTCTCCCAAATTATCATTCAACTATTTATCTTGCCAAGTGGAAGATATTTTTGAAAGATTAACTTTGTGAACAATTTTAAAAATTAAGAAAATGAGAATAATTTATTTCCACTTTGCCCAACTTTTTTATTCAAGGCAAGAATGTATATTTATTATTGAGGATATAGTTGCCTAAATTTTGAAGTCCAAATTCAAAATAAATTATTTTCAACCATTCTGTAAGTTTCAGTCTTGAAATGGTCTAATTTCCAGCTCAAGATACCTGTTTCGAACTCAGAAGAGGTACTTTGAGCCTGAAGTACTTCCACATTCAGAAATGTACTGTACTATTTGAGACACAGCTATTTAGAGACCCAGACCTCAAATTGATTGTATATATTAATTTAGGAATTGCTGCTTTGATAAATTTGTGCTAATTGTTTGTGAATGTTAAATCTGTAAATCTTTAAAACACATTTCTTAATCTTTTTTCTGGTGCAGCAGACTAATCCAGTTGTTCCTCTGGAATATCACATGATAAATTGCCATATTTATCACGTGATAATAACTATCAGATTAACTAATGTACATGCATGCATTCTTTTGATCTTGAAAGTATTGATGTGAAGCAAAAATATTTAGCAGTTCTGATAATTATTCAAAGTATTTTGTCTGCTTTGGGATATCACGGCTGCTTTGTTACATTATTACTTGTGTAAGATACCCTACCCCAAATATGAAATTATAATGGAGTATTGATTGTAATGCCGTCACAATAGTCCTGACCTAAAGTGATTCTTTCATATTTATTGATGTATCTGTGTTATTCAATACTAAATCAGCATCAATTCTCTCTCAAGCTTCATTGGTTCCCCAATATTCATGTTTCATATTGATTTGTTAGTCTAAGAACCAAATAAGGACAATGTCATCAGTATGTAAAGGAAATGTATTACTATATACATGGAATTTCCCTTTTTTACTTTTGAGGCACAGAAAACAACTCATAGGTTTTGAAGGTTTTGTTTATGTTTGCTCTCAATGAAGAAAATAAAGAGATACAGTTACATGGTGATACATGAGATTTCATAACTTTATACAAATTGGCACAAATGAACAGTGAAGAGTCCAACATAGAACATAAATTTGTAAGATAGGAGTTCCTCTCTACCTTATACCTTTGTCTTGATCTGCTCTGAGGATCGCCCAATAGGAAATCCATTGCATTTTCTTCCCTCTTCTAATCACAAAATCAGTTCCTTCAACTGGAGAACCTGATTCCAATTAATATTCAGTACATTATCAGATACAGTATAAGTGCAATCCAAAACACATCTAATAGAGCTGTTAGATGAGATATATGAGACAGATAACTCACACTTTGGTAAACTGAGAAATTTCAGTCTTTAAATAGAGAACACCAAACATGACTACAAGGCACTTTACAAAATTAACAGCTAAATGGAATTTGTTCAGCCTGATTTATAACTTGTAGCCTTTTACTGCAACCTAATAGCAACCAGATTCCTTCCTTTTTAATGTCCTGCAAGGCAGTAGCAAAAATGGAACTGTATTGAAGCATTGATTTCCTACTTGCATGACTGTTGAATGTGTTTCATTGAATGAAACAAAATTGTGCATGCTGCCTACCAGGAGACATAATTAAAACTTTGGCTAGCACCACAATTGTTTTACAGAAAAAAATAAAGCAAGGAATAAAATGTGACAAATGACTCGTCTTCTTCCATTCCAAATGGTCCTCCTTCCATTTCCTGTCTTTGGAAGATTGCAATCATTATATGAAAAATCCCTGAGAAAACTCTATATTGGCAAAGAATACATTTTACTGAAACATATTTTGATGCAGTAATTATAGGATAAACACTATAGAACTTAATATGTCAAAAATCCATGCTTGGATATTATAAATCTTCAGCTACCTAGTAATGAAAGGTAAAAAGAAATACAATTGTTGCTTTTTTCAGCAGACTTTCTTCAACTACTAAATTGGACCTCATTAGATGAAAGCAGCTATATTATAAGAAGCTAAGGATATAACAGGAGGCTAAAATGTCTTTACAACTTGCACTAAATCAGGTAATACTGTAATAGTCTTTAGAGAAGCGATCCCTCCAAAAATTAAAAACAAAATTGCAAAGTCACAATCTTCTAGAAAGTGCAGCTTTCTAAACTGGACAGTGTTGAACTAAAAATCAAGAGACTCTTAAAACTATGAAAAAACTCTAGCAAAACTAGATTCTCCAAAAAAGTACCACAAATATTGTTTTAGAAACAGTTACAATTACAACAAGGTAAAACTGTATAGGAATCCATTATTTTGTTTAAAATATTTATACACAATATATTACATATTGCCAGATTACAATACATTATTAAACAAATTTGTCTGATAGATTTTTGTTGAGAAAGTCATTAGCGTGAGCTTTTTTCTTCTAAGGGGTGTTTCAGAATCCTGCCTGTTTGCCATAGGTAAAAAACCTGAGAAAACACTGTGTATCCACAGCTATAGTTTGTGATTCAGAAACTGGCAATCTTACAAGTAACTTGATTATTAGAAGAGTCATGTTAAGACTATGGAAATGTGTTGTACCAGAACCATAAAAAATTGAAAGCAAAGTGTTCTCCTACAAGGAACAGGAGCTACTAGTCCTGTATTTGTCACCTGAAGGTCAGGGATCGATTTAAATGCTGCGTTGGTCTTTTGTCATTCTTTTTCAAGGTAGATACAGATGCTCCATAGAAAATGTGAAGTTATTAATCTCTAGTTTTCAAAGGAGTGGTTAGAAAAAGCTGCTTTTATAAAGACTTTCTTTGCCATATTTAAAACTTTTACTCCATCCTAAGTAAAATTTAAAGTAGCCTTCACAGAACCATCACAGAAAATGTCCAAGATAGTCTTGTCCATCAGATGTGTTGGAATATAAACTCCATCATTTGCATCAATAGTCAGCATTATCTTCGGATTATCACATTGGGGAAAATTGGTCTAAGGCAGACATGTCAAACTCGCGACGCAATGTATCGGAGCTTTTTTGCCATTGCCGGCAATGGGGTGGGCGCGGCTCCGGTATGATGAAACTGGCCCGCGGGCCAACAGTTTGACACCCCTGGTCTAAGGTCATAAAACAAATTGCTCTGGACTAATAGTATTATAACAAAGCATGCTGTGTTCAGATTAATGGTATAAAAACACAGCATATTGTGCAGATTTGCTAGTTATGATCCTGACATTTAAGATAAGTGGGTTGCATACTTTTTAATGAATTAAATCTGATTAATATATTACTAGGAATGGTACTTAGAAAGCCAGTTTCCTCCCATGATGCAGGCAAAATCTGAATTACAGAAATTTACATTTTCATAAAATACCATTTTAAGCCTTTCAAATAAGAAATAGATGTAGGCATATGATTTTGTTGACAAAAGACAAAGAATTTCAGTGTTAAATGGGCAACAAATTGTGATCTATACATAAAGATCCAATTGTCTGAATACTTGATCTTAATCACTATTTTATCATATGACTTTCTCAGCAAAGGATTTGTTGACAAGCTCATGCACGCCATCATCTTTAATATTTACTTTATCACCTAAAATGCTTTAAAAATCCAGTTTCATAAAATAGTTTCTTCTGGCAGGCTGACTTACATCCAACATAATACCTGATTTATATTTCTCATTGAAGAAAATAAATAAAGAGCTGTATTTGGGCCCAGTGAATTAATTAATCATATAAATAACTAGAATGCAAAGTGTGTAGAAACCATGTCTACGTATTGTGTGCATTGTTCCCTCTTTGACAGGCAAATTTCCTAAAAGATAGAAGCCAATGATGATTAACTTTAGATTTTGGATTTCCAGAGCTATTTTCTGGTTGACAGAAAAAAATATAGTTATAATTTATTTCTAATAAGTAAACAAATTTCAAAACCTGTGCTTCACTTTTAAAAATATCTTTTAAAGTTTAAAATCACAATTTATTATAGTCAATTTTTACTTTAAAGATTTTTCAAGTGAGCCTTAGAAGATATAGCCCTATCCACAAAAAATTCTGCCATTTATTTTCTAAAGTGTAATATTATACTATAGATCTTAATCCAGACTAGAATACTTATAAATGATGTTTGGAGTTCAAGAAATGTTATAAAAAGGATAAATACACATATACAACAATAAAATAATACCTACACCTCAAGAAGAGATGAAAATATTCAAGACCTCACAAAAATACAAATCCCAAACCAAGGAACAGAAATAGTTACTGATAAAAGTAACTTGTGCCAACACAGCAATTTAACACAATTCCACATATTTGGTACATCAGTGTTTTGAGAACCGCAGGATCGTTAGGAAAAGTCTGTCTAATAGTGTTATCGACTTTCATATATCTTTAGAAATATTGTTAACCACAAACTCTTCCATTCAACTGATATGATCAAAATGATGTCATATTCTTGATGGTCAGTTCACTTTGCTCTGAATTCTCTACCCTGTAGAGGTGTTTTCTTTTGCTTAACCTAAAAACAAATAGGAAATTATGTACATTAGAAATGACAGCAGCAAACGATTGGTTTTCTTTTTAAGCTTCTTTTTAATGCTGTCTTATCAAAATATCCTTTGGTATAAAAGTGAACTATTAAGGAAGGAGTGGCTCTGATTAATTAAAGCAGTTCCAAAGACAGGTAGTAGGAAATTATTTCCACAAAGCTGAATGAAAGACATACTTTGGAGAACCTGGCCTTGCAAGAATGGGGTGCTAAAATGGAAGCCTCATTCTGCAATTTCTTCTCCAAATACCATGAAAATACCAGGCCTGGGGGTGGTGGCAGCTATCTTGACACTGCTGAAAGCCTCAAGCCTCTACTTCAGGCCCAGCCCCCGTGTTGCTGCCAATGAATGCTTCTTTGCAGGGCAACCAAAAGGTCATAAATTGGGGGGAGGGAATAGGGAAGTTGTAGCACCCCGTGGTCATATAGTCAGGCAGGCAGCCAAGTGCCTGACTTCTGATCGTGTGACCATGGGCGCCCTGCAACAGCCATAAGTTCAGGCACAGGTCATAAATCCTTTCATTCAACACTATCATAATTTCAAGTAGTCACTGAATGAATGGCCATTAAGCCAAAGTCTACCTCTATGCTAACATTTTTTTTTTGTTTTCTTGGTTATCCATGGTATCCTCAGGAATCTTCCCAAACTCAAAAATTCAAAATTCAATGTTACGTACTGCTTCTTCAGAAAAAAACTTTTGCTTCCAGAAAAAAAAAAAACATTGCCTACACATTTCTGAACTTTTCTTGATAGGAAAACTTTTCTTTTCCTATCAAGTGTTGGCCTGGTGTATTTTTTGACTGTTGGTTCCCTTGCTGTTGCTAGTTGATCTTAAAAGAAGAAGCTGTCCATCACTTCAATGGATTGTCAGTCCTATTCTATGATATCTGTTGTCACTAATTTGATCTGCTTTATATTTAATCACAGTCCTATTTTTTCATTATGCATCTTTATTTTCATTATTAGAGCTTACAGTCATTTGATTTTCATTTATCAGAGTCATGTCAGCAGCACAGGTTGATATATCTTCCTCCAGTTTTAAAATCACATTAATCTTCTTCCATGCAGCTCTCAATATATAAGATAAGATAAGATAACCTTTATTGTCATTTTTTTTACTGTGGGCACAACGGCACACATCAAAAATGAAATTTAGTTGCCCGCTCTCCAAGTGAAACACATACATGATGCACAACTAAACAAACTATGAACAACATATGTATAGACCCACATCCCTACATATACGTAGCAAATAAATATTAAATACTGTCCATCTTGAATATATAATGGAAGGAGGAAGCTTGAGAGTTCACAAGGTTAATGCTGTGTGGAATGAAACTCTGGCTGAATCTGGATGTTCTGCTACGGATACCATGAAGCCTCCTCCCAGAAGGTAACAAGGAAAAAAGGTAGTGAAGAGGATGTGTAGTGTCCCAGATAATCTTACGGATTCCACGTAAGTTTGAATAAATAAGGAGAGAGTATATTCACTCCTGTCTCACCATGTTCCATACAGCCTGGTTTCCTTTCCTGTGTGTAGGTTTTTCATGAGGACAATGAATTTATTTTTTCAATAGATTCATTCCTGTTTTCCTAAGAACTGTCCATAGCTTGATGTAGTTGATATGATCAAAAGCCTTTCTATAATCAATGAAACACTTATTGACTTCTTTTTGGTATTCTTTGGCATTTTTAATTAGCCAGTTGCATGAGCAATAATAATGTCTCTAAAAGCAGCTTGAACATCTAGTATTTCTCTTTCTAAGTTGGACTATAATTGCACAGTCCTTAGTACTGTTTTGATCAAGCACATTTTTGCAATAGTTTGCTAACTCTGTTAAGCTTTCTTTCCTTGTTATTGGTAAAATGATCTCTTCCCATTTGTTGAACCAGTATGTCAATTTCCAGATTGTGTGGCATAGTTTAATTAGAATGTTTATTGATTCTTCTTTTGTTGTTTACAATATTTATAGAGATATTCCATCAATTCCTATAATCTTTTCATTTCATAATGGTCAGAATGGTGATCTAATTATCTTTTGGTACAAGCATTTCTTATAAATGGAGAATTATTTTTAAAGTATCTTGGACATTAGATTAACATTGAGAATTTTAATCTTCCATTTTTGCTTGATCCCTCTGAATCAGTTACTATCTTTCCATTGACATTTTTTAGCATACCAATTCGAGGTTGGAAACCTTAGATCTTTTGAATGACTTACTGTTGTTTTTCCCATACTCAATGCCTTTACAGATGTATTGCTTATCTCTTCTGCAAGTTCTTTGAAATTCTTTGTTAAATTCTTCTGAGATATTTTCTTTCTTCGCTTTTAGCTTCTCTTTTCAGCATTATTCATCATCTCTTTTGACATCCAGTTGCTTTCTTCTATTTCTTTATCATGACAATTAAGTTTGAGGATAATGTATTGATAATTTCTTCAAAAATCCAGTAATGGAAGATAGATGAAGTAAAGATTTTCATTTATTTCAATAGATTCATTAGAAACTGATAAAAGATATCCTTTAAAAAATTGCCTTTTTTGTTTTCATTCAACTTCTGGTTTCTATTGGCCTTTATACAGAAGAATGAAATTCTTTTCTGCCTTTTAGTTTGAAGTTCACCAGACTTAATATAAAATACAATGAGGAATTCTATTTCAGTAAAATCAAATTACCCATTAATTTGTTGCATCTCATCAAATGTCTCTGGCAGAGGTTTTCCATAACTTTCTGGTAATAAGAGGGTGAGAATCCCTATTAATAACGTTAGGCTGCCCATGATGATGTAAGGTAGAAATTTACCATAGGCACCTGGTAAAACATAAACAGTAGGTTTATTACATAATGTTACAATATTAATTCATAATCACTTTATCTATTTGATTCCTGTCCTTTCCTTCTGTATTTTATCTGGATGTATTTCTTTTAAACTCAACAGCAATCTTTCGTGATCTTTTACTTTAAAGATATGTTATTTTGCACTATCCAATGTACGTTGTTTTGTGCTATTTTTGTTATTTGATTTTATTGTGCAGGTTTTGTTTCTTTGAATCACATTTTATGTTTTAATTGATGTTTTTACTGCACATTACCTTGGTATATTAGATAGAAAGTACGATTGAAGGAAATTGGAGATTTAGAGTGTGATTTATTAGGTAAGTTTTATGAATGATTGTCAATTAATGTCTATATCTTTGAAATCCTTGTTTCAGTACTGCATACTATGCAACAAAACATTTTTTGGTAATCCTATGAAATATTTTGTTGTTGTTGTGCATTTAAATCAGTGTTGATTGCTTGGCAATATTTTAGAAATGGTTTGCCACTGCCTACTTCCTAGGGTTAAGAGAGTTACAAGCCTAAGGTCATCTCTGAGCTTGGTACCTTTAACCACTATCCCCAAATAGTTCTCTACTAATAATTACTGGTCTTGAATTATAATCCACCACTGGAAAAGAACTAGGAATCAAGTGCTTCCAGAAGAATAATGATGGCTTGCACTGAATATCTAGGTCTTTTGAAAGGCAATGTGAGTTAAGCCTACAAATAAACACAGGATTAATGAGATCACAGAAAGGTTACTGAGTATTTCTCCATCAACTCAAAGCTAAACTAGGGAGCATTTTATTTTGAGCACGTTTAAAATGATAAATTTCTTACCCAGGAAAACAAAGTATGGTGCAATAATGCTGCCCACCCGGGATGACATGGAAGCAGAACCCACTGCCATGTTTCTTACTGTCGTTGGGTAGAGTTCTGCAGTGTAGACATAAAGCATGGAGAAGGCTGATGTGATCCCAAATTTCCCCAGCATCACTAAGATGAGAGACAGAATGTGGAGATCTGTGGAAAGAAGTTAAGGAAGAAACAAAACTTCAGTGCTTCTTTTATTAATCAACTTTGAACAAGTCCTACTTTTACCTTAAGGCCTGGTGACCTTCCGTATATCTACAACCAATATGATCTTGAGCTTTCTTTTGCCAATTGGGTCCACAATACTTGCTGATGTCGTTGATCCACCTTGTTTTAAGTCTCTTTTGTGGACGCTTTTTATCGTGAGATCCCTTCTATAACTGCCTAGGTCCACCTGCCATACTACTGAGAAACCTCCTGAGGCATGCTTTTAAGGCCTACTTCGCATCATCCCATGAATGCTTAGAAATCGATTCAAAATCTTTGAGAATTGTGACACTAATAGAAACATCTCCAGAACAGTAGTGGGTATGCATGCAAAAATGACTGTGGAAGAGTGAAAGATCACTTGATCAATCACAAATAACCAAATGGCAGGTGGACCAAGCAGTCATAGAATGGATCCCACTTGATAAAAAGTGTCCACAAAAGAGACCTAAAACAAGATGGATTGACAATATCAGCAAGTATTGTGGGCCCAATTGGCAAAAGAAAGCTCAGGACTGTTATTGGTTGGAAACATGCGGAAGAGGCCTTCATCCTGCACTGGATAGACAGTGGCTGTCTTACATCTTCCTGGCTGTATATCACAAAAAAGGTATTAGCAAGCTATCAGAAGCTAAGGGAAAAAAATCACTACTGGTAAAAATTACCTAATTAATGCAGGCATTGGTCATATAATAGCTATCCAAACAATACTGCTTAAATAAAGATGCTACCCAGATGAAGCACAACTGTAGCCATGTGAAACTGCAGGCATGATGGTCTAGGAGCATATAACTCACAAGTAGTCTTTATAGCTATTTTTTGCCACAGTACAGTACATTTAATAACCCAGGACACCAGAATTGGTGATAGATTTAACAGAATCTGTTAAATCTATCACAGATTCAAAGACCAGTCTTCAAAAGTAAAGGGATTTCATGCACCATAAAACCTGAAGTAGAATCCATGCAATAAACTGTTCAATATTATGCTGGTCTATGACCGTAATATTGATCAATTTGATTTGTTTCTTTAGTGTTGCTTCTTCTCTGAAGGCTTGTTGGGCCTAAAAATGAAAGGCATTCAAAGGAAGAATCTTTCCAATCCAAAGTGTAGTCAAATAGATATGAAGGAGAAAAGATACTGTCAAGACTGAGGCCACATGAAAGCAGGTATCTACAATGATGCTGTAAAAAATTATTTTTATTTACTTAGAAAATATATATAGTTGCTTTAGCATAAAAAACTCTAGTTAACAATAGCAAACAAGCTAAAATAATTACAAAACATTAACAAAGGCACCGTAGAATAAACTGAGTTACACAGTCATACCTATATTGGGTTTATCTATTATTCTGGCCAAACACCTAGAAGAAAAGCAAGGTTTTCACATCCTTTCAGAAGACCAAGAAGGTCATGGCCATTGGGATCTCAGGCTATGGCACTTGAAAAGAAAAATCAACACTGGATCTGAAAATACTGTTGGAGCTGATCACAAAGCAAGACTTACAGAAGGATCAGAAAAACCAGGCATCCTGGTGGCAGCATGAATTGTTGAGAACCTGGCATTCTGAACAAAAGTGAGTCTAGGAGAGTGTTGCAGTAACTCTGGAATTTGGGAAGGGAGTGAGAACTTGAAGGATGAAAGACCTCATGGTAATTTCCTTTCTGTAAACATGGTGAGAAGCAAATCACTTCCACACTTGATGCTCTTAGAAAAATGCAATTATTAAAAAATTAAAAACTCACAAACTCACAGAGGTAAGTCAATTTTTACAGTGCCATCGTAACTTTGGACAGTTATTAAACGAATGATTGTAAGTAGAAGACTGCTTGTATGGCAGTTGCAGCATAACTGAAGGTACTGCAAGAATATTACCGAGGCATCTCAAATTGTGAGTTGAAATCACTTAGGGAGTCATGAGTAATTAAAGGGATCTTGCACAGAGGAAGTGGGAAAGTTGTTAGACTGTTACTGCTACCAGAACTGGATTGTACTGGCCTTTAGTGGGCAGCTGCAGAATTGCAGCGTTTAAGAACTTTGCATTTAGAGATTCAAATGTAATTATTAAAAGTCAATTATATATTTATTCTTTTGCCCAGCCTTAAATTCAACGAAGGCCAGTAAGAGATCACAGTACCCAAAAGCTGAGCAACTGTGTTTGGCTTTCCACCAAATTCTCTCTACCATTTGGGCATTTCCTGAATTTTTTATTTTTGCACGGGTGTATTTTGTGGATCTGTGGTACACAGAGGTCACAAAAATAAACTGATAAACATCCCTATAATGTTCAGTGAATGCAGATTTCTATCTATACATAATCTTAACGAATTTTCCTGGAATAGAATATATAGGTGTAAAAAATCATTCTTTAACACTTGTTCCATTCTCCTCATACAGTATTGTCAATTACTACAGCACAAATGAAATGAAATGAATGAACACACACAGACACATCTTACCTGAAGGTACTAACTGTATGAACAAAATAACTCCTCCTCCCAAGAAGAGGGTGCCAGATATTGTATATCGCCGAGGCAAGATCCGCAGGAGGAGCCAAGCAATCACATAGGCTGGGACCTCAATGACTGCTGACAGAAAACAATTGAAGTAGGCATCTCCATGCAGATTAGGGGTGCTGAGTGACAGACCGAAATAGCCAATAGATGTAAACATCCTGAGATAAAAAGAGAAATTAGCAAATATAAATAGCCACAATCTGGCACAATTAGCTCAACAGTAGAATAGACATTTCCTATTTTACTATTTCAGATGGCACTTTTTTGAATTGGAATGGAGTAAAATGCATTGGGAAATTATACATACGACCCTCTGGACATCTATGTTTTGATGCTGCTTTCCTGTTTTTCAATAATTTGTGTAAATAAGTATCTTAATCAAATTCATAATATCCCTGAGTGAAACCTAGTCCTTCTAATGACAACAGGGAAAAGCTGACTGTTCACCCTAAAGTATCTTTAGTGCTGTTATATAGCATGTACCTGTTAGAGGCAAGCCATCCAATGAAACTATCTAATTTTAAATGCTGATTGCTCATATGGGAAGGCAAGAAGCTTCTCAGGATTCTTAATTATCCAATTCAGTATATGAGATGCTAAAGTGAGACTTAAATATTGGTTCCTTCTGTTCAGAAAACGTATATGATTGTGGAAAGTCTTATACAATAAATGGTGCCTATGCAGTAGCTTGTATCTGAATCTCTTGATAACACTATAGTATAGTGACAGTGTTCATTATTATCTGGTGCAAAAAGGGCTTGCTTTAATACTAGCTTTTAATTCTAATGTCCAAATGGATATTTAAATAAGCAAGCTTTACTTCTTGTAGTTTACCTTTGCTGATAAAGTTCAGTATTTTCAATAATATATTATTATTAAAAAGAAAACCGTGCAAAGAATTGACATATCTGGTGTTTAAATGTAAATTGGTTCCTTTTTTCTTGATTTTTGTTTAAGTTAAGTTGTTTTTTATTATTATTTTTCTATTGGATCTGTGGGGCTGGAAACAATAATAGTGTGGTGTTGTTTAGTCTGGTGTAATATCTAATCCTGTTGATTAGTATTTAGCTTTGTCTGGTTAAAATGTTAAGGTAAAGAAGTAGGCAAAAGTGTCCTGATGCAGTTTTGCTACTGAAACGCTTCTGCTTGCATGGACTCCGTTGCTCACAACTCCCAAATCCCTCCATACTTACATGCATCAGCAAGCAATCTAATAAAAGGTCCTTTAGGCATAGAAAATTATTTAGAAAAGCATTCACAATGTTCTGATCTACATCACATTTTAATGGCAATTCACATGTTAAGGGCAGCTGAATATGCCAAGCAGGGTAGCGACGTAAATTGATCAATTAAAAATATAAAATAAAATCTCATTTGGTAATAAGGATTGGAATGTCCCAAACAGCCTAACTTTCCCCAAACGAAAAAACAGATCATCGGGTCTCTGCACTTAATGGGCCTTTGCATTTAATGAGCCCGCTGTTGGAACCTTACCATAAAAGAAGAGACATAAAAGTCATAATTGCAATGTTTCGTGATCTGAACAAGTCCAAAAACACACCCTGATGTTGCTTGGCTTTCAAATCTTCTACCTTAGGAGGAAAAGAAAGGAAAAAAGGGAACATTCCAAAACCAAGCAAGTAAATAAACATAAATGTCCTGGATATCATCATACAAGGTAAAGAAAAGGAAAAAAATCAAGCCGTTGATTTAAAGAAGATGGAGACTTATTGATTGCTTTCATTTTGACAATTTTATGTATTTTCACTCTCATTCTGCACAGATTTTAATCTGCTTTGGAGGCCAGTTCAAAATTGATTTTTTTTTTCCAAAATTCTTTATCTTACAAAAAACAGTCTATGTTTGAGAATTAGCCTAAATTAGTAACAATCAATTAACAAGGATTGTTGGGAAAAGAGACCTAATGAATTATGTTTATTGATGAACACATGACAGATACTGAAGCAACAAGAGCTCCATAATAAAAATCAGCCAGTTATGAAATAAAATACTCAACAAGTTGATGTGGTTCCCAGTTTCATGGATAGCTTCCTTAGGAAGTCCAGCTACTAGACTTATGACCATTCAAAATTATGGTGCTGAAAAAGATTTGGTTCTTGCACTTACGACTGGTCCTCACACTTATGACTGTTGCAGGATCTCCATGGTCATGTGATCCAAATTTGAGTGTTTGGCAACCAACGTGTATTTAGGGGCAGGATGATCACCATCAGCAATCTTCCCAGTTGGCTTCCAACAAGCAAAGTCCATGGGGAAAGCTGAATTCATGTAACAGCCCTGTGATTCACTTAATGATTATGATGGTTTACTTAATAACAGCAAAAGTCATAAAATTGGGCACGGCTCATTTAATGACCACTTGACATTCAATAGAAGTTCCAGTCCCAATTGTAGTCATAAGGCGAAGATTACTGTAGCTTTCTATGTCAGAGATATATATGTAAAACTGTCCAGGGAAAACCTTTGTCCTTAAGATAAGCCCGTAACAAATTAAAAAGAAAATAACTGACAAATTAGCCTCTTTTCTTCATTAATGACTGCAACTGCAAGTCATTAGCTTCTTAGAGAGACAGGTAGGGTTGTCTATGAAACCAGAGCAATCAACAAGTAGAGACGATTAGATACTCAACTACCGTAGTAATGCTGTACAGCTATTTGATTTCATTTTTAGTTCAGAATTAGACATTCTCCTGGGATTTTCCATTCTGGAATTTGGTTCGGGAGTGCCAGTGAAAAGTGTATCCCTAAGTTATAATTTAAAAAAACAACTCTTTGTTTTTTGCATGCCCCTGGTAAAATTAGGGGTATAAAGTCAAGAGTTTTCTGCAACTATAAAAACTGAGTCTGTGGCCTTCCACAGAAGTTCATTTCTGTCTCCCTTTATAATCTTTATTTTAACAGTCTTGATTAGGTTGGGCTGGGAAAGGAGGGATATCAGAGTTAAATGGAGTTAAAATCCCTTGTAAACTGAATCACAAAAAGACACACAACAGCCAACCGATGCATTGCCTATCTTTACTTTCTCTTAGCACCATTTTTTGCTTTATTGCCACCTACAACCAAGAATATATAATTGGGAGAGAAAACAACTTCATACATTAGCTGGTAAATAATTATATTGGAGGTGGTTGCTCAACCTTTGTTCCATTTGACTCCAAAACTCATTATTCTTCCCAAGTTGTTTTTTAAAAAAAAAAATAAACTGAGACACACCATGCAGCCAGAAACTTTTGCTTAATGCTACAAAGGAATAAACTATCTCTATATCTATCTATATCTCTCTCTCTCTATCCAGTGCTTTTTTTCTAAAAAAAAAAAAAAAAAAGGTGCCGGAACTCACACACGTCATACAACCCGCCTTACCTACCTTACAAGGTTCCATCCAAAAAAGGTGCCGGAACCCCATTCTGGGCGTTCTATGACAAAAAAAAGCCCAGTATCTATCTATCTATCATCAGCCTTTATTCTCAAGACTAACATGACAATGAGCTATACTAGGTGGACTGCAAACTTTCTTGAACTTTTCTATTGTAAGTAAGTGTTTGGGAAAGAGGGAAAATGCAACTTGTCCAATGTCCATTTCACAACTATGCTGGTGGCCCGATCAAATTCAGATATGCGCACTTCATTATTTCTCTGCAGCTCACAAGGGGAGGGATGTGATTTTTTTCCCCTTGGCAAACAAGAAGACTGTATAAAGCCATCCTGAAACTTTAAGAAAAATGGGCAGCATGTTTGTCCAAGCCAGAAACACAATCTATAGCAATTTATGACTGAATGATAAATCCTGCCGATGTGATTAAACCACAACCTTTGGGCAAGAATAGAACTACAGCTGACAAGTAGAATAACAGAAGTCGAACAAGCTCTAAGCCACCGCTGAAATATATTAAAATGCCTGCTGTGGGGGATAAAAGCAGATCCTACGCAGAAAGATGAGTGCCAACATTGTATTTAGAATCAGGAAGGTTTGTTGATGATCTTGCTGTATTACTGAGCTAGATTTATACAATTTTTTTCTTACTTTTTAGGCAGACATTCATCGCATATTGCCTGTTCTTGTTCTCTTTCAGGACATACAATGCGGTTTATTGCACATATAACTGGGTTTATAGTGAAGTTCACATTGAAAAATTGTTAATGCTTTTGAAGACCTTGCCATATACGAATCATTAACTCAGATGTAAGTACTGGTGCATGCAAACTATCACCTACTTTACCTTAGAGTTATGTTTTTTTTAAAATATGACCAATGGTACTAGTGAGACCTGCTATCTATTTGTCTGTCTTCTGTCTATCTAACTATCAATCTGATTAGATTTTTATCCCATTTTTATTACTTTATAAGTAACTCAAAGCTGTGATCAGACTTAATATGTCCTTCTGTTTTCTAATCCTGTGAGGTAGGCTGGGCTGCGAGAGAGTAACTGGTCCAAAGTCACCCAGCTCAGTCACTATTATAATAGTGCAGGGGTCTTCAAACTTGGCCCTTTTATGACTTGTGGACTTCAACTCTCAGAATTCCTCAGCCAGGCATGCTGGCTGAGGAATTCTGGGAGTTGAAGTCCACAAGTCATAAAAGGGCCAAGTTTGAAAATCCCTGTAATAGTGGGTTAACGCAAGTACTATAAAAATATAAATATACATTTTTTTGTTTCTGTGGCTCCATGTCATTGTTGACTGGTGACTGCCAGGACAAATGGTTTCTCCTTGCCTGCTTCCCAGGGCGGAGAGAGAGTGACTAGGCCAGGGGTAGGCAACCTTGGCTCTTTTATGACTTGTGGACTTCAACTCCCAGAATTCCTGAGCCAGCCATGCTGGCTCAGGAATTATGGGAGTTGAAGTCCACAAATCATAAAAGAGCCAAGGTTGCCTACCCCTGGACTAGGCTATGGCTTTATGCCTAAGGTGGGACTAGAACCTATGGTGTCCTGGTTTCTAGCCAGGTACCTTAACCACTACACCAAACCTGCTCTTAAATATGCAACTATAACTCCTAATACTTACCTCCACTGGATCTAAAATTATTGATGGAGCTGGAATCCTGTTTGTTTGTGCTGCCTTCCGAATAATAGCTTCAGCTTCTCTGAATCTTCCTTGAGAGATCAGCCACCGAGGAGATTCAGGAATAAACCTGCAACAAGTCCAAATTATCTCATTGCTTTTTTTTTTCATAAATTGATACCATCACGGTGACTGAAAGAGCTTTCACTTAATTGTGATATGACAAGCCAGAGGTCTGGTCCATTTGCATATAGGAAGCATGAAAAGGAATGTGTCAGGCTGAGCAACTAGCTAACTCACTGCATTGTGCTGTTCTTTAATGATCGTGGAGCTAAATTCGGGGGAAAAAATAGAAGAACATGCAGATGCCAGATTTTTTTTCATTTCAAGGCAACTCTTTTTGTTTAAAAAGACTTCACTTTCGATATAAACAGACAAACATTTGAGTCAATACTTGCTAATTCTAATAGAACAATTTATGTTAACTTGTGTGTATAATCCAGTGAATTGGATAGGTATTTATTTATTTATTTTACAAAATTTATATGCCGCCCTTCTCCCCATGGGACTCAGGGCGGCTCACAGCATGTTAAAACAATATACAGAATTACCCCTTCTAAAAACCAATTAAAATCCAAATATTAGTGGCTGTGACTATTTAAAATCATTAAAAATTATCCCTATTTAAAATTCACCCTAGGTCAGGCCCGCTTGTNAAATGCCTGCTATGGGGGATAAAAGCAGATCCTACGCAGAAAGATGAGTGCAAACATTGTATTTAGAATCAGGAAGGTTTGTTGATGATCTTGCTGTGTTACTGAGCTAGATTTATACAATTTTTTTCTTACTTTTTAGGTAGACATTCATCGCATATTGCCTGTTCTTGTTCTCTTTCAGGACATACAATGCGGTTTATTGCACATATAACTGGGTTTATAGTGAAGTTCACCTTGAAAAATTGTTAATGCTTTTGAAGACCTTGCCATATACGAATCATTAACTCAGATGTAAGTACTGGTGCATGCAAACTATCACCTACTTTACCTTAGAGTTATGTTTTTTTTAAATATGACCAATGGTACTAGTGAGACCTGCTATCTATTTGTCTGTCTTCTGTCTATCTAACTATCAATCTGATTAGATTTTTATCCCATTTTTATTACTTTATAAGTAACTCAAAGCTGTGATCAGACTTAATATGTTCTTCTGTTTTCTAATCCTGTGAGGTAGGCTGGGCTGCGAGAGAGTAACTGGTCCAAAGTCACCCAGCTCAGTCACTATTATAATAGTGCAGGGGTCTTCAAACTTGGCCCTTTTATGACTTGTGGACTTCAACTCCCAGAATTCCTCAGCCAGGCATGCTGGCTGAGGAATTCTGGGAGTTGAAGTCCACAAGTCATAAAAGGGCCAAGTTTGAAAATCCCTGTAATAGTGGGTTACAGCAAGTACTATAAAAATATAAATATATATATATATATTTGTTTCTGTGACTAATACTTACCTCCACTGGATCTAAAATTATTGATGGAGCTGGAATCCTGTTTGTTTGTGCTGCCTTCCGAATAATAGCTTCAGCTTCTCTGAATCTTCCTTGAGAGATCAGCCACCGAGGAGATTCAGGAATAAACCTGCAACAAGTCCAAATTATCTCATTGCTTTTTTTTTCATAAATTGATACCATCACGGTGACTGAAAGAGCTTTCACTTAATTGTGATATGACAAGCCAGAGGTCTGGTCCATTTGCATATAGGAAGCATGAAAAGGAATGTGTCAGGCTGAGCAACTAGCTAACTCACTGCATTGTGCTGTTCTTTAATGATCGTGGAGCTAAATTCGGGGAAAAAATAGAAGAACATGCAGATGCCAGATTTTTTTCATTTCAAGGCAACTCTTTTTGTTTAAAAAGACTTCACTTTCGATATAAACAGACAAACATTTGAGTCAATACTTGCTAATTCTAATAGAACAATTTATGTTAACTTGTGTGTATAATCCAGTGAATTGGATAGGTGGACTATGAATGTGTTTATAATAAATATATTTGCTTGGAAGTGAGTATAATACAGACTGTGTATCTCTTATATTATGCTAGCTTAGACTGTAGCTCAACTGGGACCCATATAAATACTATATAGGAGCTAATATATGTTAATACAATGTTCTTCCTTACATCCTAATGTCTTTCCTTGATTAATAATTCCACAAATGCTTCAGATACATTGTATACCTATCTAGCTCATTTCTATAATTTGGAGAAAATTGCAATATATGGTATAGAAACCTCTAATACTAATTCTCTGCAGTGAGTATTCAAAGCTACAAGGAAGATTTGGTATACTAAAATAACAGGTGACATCCCTCTAATTTGAATAAAATCTGTTATGTAAATCCACAATGTATTTATGCAAATTCATACATTAGAGGAGCCAAATGTTGCTTTCACCTGAAGAATTCAATTAGCATGGTCTTATCTTTAGGGCCAATCAATCTGTGTGCCTTCTTGATTACAGCCTCTTGGTTTCTTTGTAAGAGGTCATAGTATTTTCTTGGAAAGAAAATTATTAAAATGTCCAGAAAAATAGATCATGAATCTAATAGCCTAGTGCCTCTAAAGATTTCAATACCTACTCTATTATAAATATTACATTTTCAAAAGTTGAGAAATATTAACAAAATTTTATAGGGACTTCTGATTTTACAGAAAAATTAGCAAGAAAAAATATTTTCAATTTACATGCTTGACAAATGTATAAATGTATAATCAGTATCTTCCTTCTGTGAGGAAAATTTGGAGAGAACTCACAATCCCTCCCTCAACTAGAGATATAAACTTTCAAAAGAAAATAACTTCAAAAGGGAACAGAGGAAAAGGAAGGCATGTGGAGCAATAGGAACAGGAGTGAGCTAGAAGAAGTTTGCAGCCTCTGAAGAAAGTGGGCTTCCCAGAGAGAAAAGAATTTCCCAGGTAAAATGAAGCAAAAGGAACAGCAATTTCAAGAGGCCCTTGTTTTTGTAGAAGTATGCAAATTACGATTCTTTGATTTGTTTAATGGGTTCCTAAATATCTTTGTTTTGTTGGACAACTATAGGAAGTTGAGTGTTCAATGTCAACTTTCATTCATTTATAATTCAGACTGGCCATAAATGTAATGTTTTGCCTCTAAAATCCATTTGTTAAAAATTATAGCAATAGCAATATTTGTTGTTAACTAGTGCCGTTGTGTTCTGGCCTGCATCTTATTTTACAGTTCTCTTTTTAATTATTTGGAAGGCATGTCTGAACTGTGTATAATTGAGGCATCTCTGAATTGTGTATAATTTTGAAATCTAAAGTTGTTACATTTTTAACTTTTCTTTTTTTAAAAAAAATGTCTCACTCATCTCTGGTAAAATTGGTTCTTTTTGGGGCAAAGTTGTTGACGAAACCTCAAGTCGCTATACCATACATCCAGGGCTTACAGTATAGATTTTTTTTCCCCCAAACCCTTTTAGTAGCCAATAACTCAGCACAGACTGTGGGAGGCCACTCATAAATAGGATTAAGAAGATAACACCAAATAAGGTGTTCCCAGGAAGCCATGTGGCAGCAGCAGGAGTTACCAAAGCACTGTCCAAAAGACATGAGGGCAGAGCTAGGATGTAGCTGGGAAAGCAAGTTTGAGACCTCCAGATTTCCACCTTTCCTCAGCTTTGTCACTACAACATAAAATAAACAGTGTTGCAAAGTACCAGATCTTTAAATATAATTCAAACCCAAATTAATGTTAAGTGGGATACCAACCCATTGTAATGCTTACAAATGCTATAAATGAATCCATCATGAGGTTTTCTAAAAGAGGAAACATCCATCCCTGTCGCACATGGAAAATCTAATTGTCCACTAATACACTTGGGATCTGATTTTCAGACACAGATTTTGTTCGCTACTTTTTAAATTGCCCTATTTCCTGCAAAGGTTTAAAGCCTCGAAGCATTATCTTCTTTTTTAATTATTTAATTTATATGCCAATGTTTACGTCTAAATGCCCCCCTGGCAACTTAATAAAAAAAGTACATTAGTACTAGGACAACCTATTGAAATAAGCAGTACAAAACACAGCATCCTATGTATGAGGATCCAGATGTGTTCCACAAAGTTCAGTGTGGCTTACATCTAGTTATGTGCACAGAAATGCAAGAAAAGTACTGAATTTTTGCTTCAAGAATGGTAAGAAAATTTGGATTGTACTGTTTTTTAAATACATATATTATGAAACAAACTTATTTAGTTACGAAATATACATATAACTTATTTAATACTATCAATTTTCAAACAGGCTAGAATTGAAGAAATTTAAAAACTTTATTTTATGAACCTGCTTTTTTTCTTGTTCAAATAATAGTATCAGAACCAGAAACTTGTGATATGGCCCTGTTCTTCTAACTTATGTTTCAAATAAGTGAATCTTTCTTATTTGAATGTTCGAGGATTGCAACCTTTGATTCATTAATTGATCAAAACATAGGAAACCACAAACACAAAATTCCTATTTCATCTAAAAGTTTTAATATTCATGAACCACAGGGTACGTTTGTAGCGATACATTATTGGTATGTCGCTTCTTGCTCACAGGAAGCAACAAGCGATTTCATAATCTCCTTGATCTATAAACCAATATCTGTAATCAACATATCTATAATATTTTGGCATCATTGGGAAAAAGAGGATACTTACTGGTTTATACAGACCAAGTAACTTGTAGAATTAAAGTATATTAGGGTTGACAGACAATTCCTGGGCTGGAACAATCCAAAAAATTACTAGATACAAGCAAACAATAGGGGCAGCAGGGATGCAGGGGAGAGAGTTCTGTATCAATCTATTACTATCAATCCAGTTAGTCATTGTATGAAATTTTTGCAACTTAGATCTGGTAGCTCTAGCTAAGTGAAATAGATCCCCTTCTTCTCAGCATTAAAAGTCAGACATTTTAATACTTGTTTTTGCCAACTTTAGAAGCAAGAAAAATTCTTAAGAGGAAAATTAAGTTAAAATCCAGAAGTATAATGACCAAGAACAGAAAAAAAAAATGAGGAGGGAGGCGAGAGAAGGAATTTGGGGCATATGCAGAGGTGTTGAGTGCACAAATCGAAGACTGAATGGACCAAGAACTGAATAGGAGGGGAGAGGCCAAACAAGACAAAAAAAAAAGCCATTTTAAAAGGTGGAGGAAAGATAATATCTCACACTCAATTCATATTGATATCTCTATTTACATTATTCAAAGCATACTGATGTGGCAACAATTACTTTTTGAAATAGTAACCAAAAAGTAGCTCCTGTCATTATCAGCAAGTAGACATTCTGAAATAGAATTTTCTTATTCTGATCCAGTGAAATATTTCCCATCTGTCTCAGATTAAAAAAAAAAAGATTTTAGCGGGATTCTCTTTTTGGCACTGCATGTAAAACTGGAAGAGAAAGTTAAAACTTTTCTTCTTTTGTGGCTTTCTATTACTACAATAACTTTCACAAAAATTTGGTTCCTGGATCATAGAGTTAATTGTGAAGATAGTTAAACAACAAAGGGGCCTATAAAGTATAGGAAGAAATTTTAAAAAAGGGTTAGGGTGGTTAGGGTTTAAACAATACATGTAGGAATTAACCACGTTTTTTATTAAAATAATTTGCAACATTATTTCAGAAGAACATAGCCTAAAACACAAAGACATTTAAACATTATAGATCTCCAAATATACTTCTAATAATTTTTAGGCCAAATCCAGTATAAGCATTTGAACGAAATGACTGATACATTGAAAAGCAAGAACTGAGATCTAAAACATATACAGTAGATGTTTGTTTTAATATCAAGTAAACTGTGGGAGGCTGTATAATTCATAAATTAGAAACCACAGTATTTCCTTTCAGTTAAAATTGCAAAATGCTTATGCAGAAACAAGGATTATATTCTTAAGTTCCTTAAGATCATTGTAAAACGTTTAACTTTCCAAAGCTTTTAATCTCTAAAACTGATATATAAATATTAGTGAACTATACCTTTGCAAGCAATCTTTTAAATTGCAAAAAAATCTTTAAAATGACATATTAAATATCGACAGAATCTATTACTGAATCATTATTTCAGGCCAGTAAATCAAAACTTGTTGAGACTTGAATGTTGATGCAGGTGTGCAAGCAGCGCCAGTTCTTTACGATACGAGTGCTGTACAAAACTCAGAAGTCTGGTACTATCTTTTAAGCCTAACAAATTTTATAATAATATTGATTACTTTTAGTAGACCTTATCATAGACTTTCCAATTTTTAGTTATCATAAGGTAATGTAGTTCTCCTTCAGAATGTTTTACAAGTAAGAATATATATATATATATTCATAGTTTCAGTATTTCTTGGTACTAGCAATTGAAAGTGGGTTCTTTTGATGCAGTAATTTGTTTTAATTGTTTCATGAAGTTAATTTATTAGAATTGTTCTTCTTAAAGATATAAACATGACTGTGAACATTCCATGCATACATACTAACTAGAAAAAATAGAGAGATTTAGCCATACAGTATTGCTTTCTGCAGCTGCTCTTAAAAATATCATGGACTCTTTTAGATTATCAGGAAATTCTGTTGCTACCTCAACAGAAAAAGTGGAATTAAAGATGATTGAGAAGGGGGAAATTTGAGCAGGAGAAGTCATCTTACAATGACTTACAATTCTTTTTTTTTTAAAGCTATTTTTTAAAAGTTGGAGGTCAGAATAACATAATCCAGAATTCGCACAGGGTAAGTCCTATAGAAGCAGTCAAATCAGACTCAAAATAAAGATAATTTATGTTAAAAGAACAGTCAAAACAATCCACTGCTCTCTGCAATCAAATGCCAAAGGTGGGAAAATATATCTACATCGACTCAAGGCTGTAAAATGCCCACTGGTTATATAACAGCGTAGGGTGAAGGTTATCAGCTACAGAGGCAACATTTCTGAAGCTGAACAACTTTCAGAACAATTAAACTCACCACCACAGTGGAATGCAGCACACCCCAGGGATAGTAAGAGCCAGTAGCAGCATCCGCCATTCTCTGATGAAGTAAGCAAATAGTGGCAGCAACATGTAGCCAATTGCAAAAAATATGCAAACTCCTAACGTAGAGAATATAATACGAACTGATTTGCCAAGAATTTCTGTGCCTGTTTAAAACAAGGAGTGTGGTTAGCATTTAACTCTAGTTTAAAATTTACCCAAAATATTCTATTTTGCAGTTTGAAAATTAAATACAGTCTTTCTAAGTGGAGCCATGTCCTACAGTTTCCAAGACAGGCATGACACCAATTGAGCCTAAAGTTGAACATGATTAGCAGGGAATTCTGATGCATAATGTGTACTGATATATAATTTAACTTTAATTTAAGTTAAATTAAACATTAATACACACTATGTATCAGAATTGATATATTTAGCTGATTGATATATTTCAGTTATATTTTGGAAAGAAATAAGAGAGGTTATTGAAACACAGCCATGTCACTACTGAAAATATGTTTTAATATGCATAAGAGTATTAGAACTGCTTTAGCTTAAGCAGATCAGTGATTCAGTTAGTCCATGGTTACACTTTCAATAACCATCAGTTTTAATTTTACACTGGAGTAGGGAAATGTAGTCTCTTGGCGACTGTTAAGACTACAACTTTTGTAATTACTGACTACTGACCATACTGACTGGCGCTGCCAGAAAGAGAAGTCCCACAACTGGAGTCTTTTTCTTTTTTAGACAATCACAAGCACAGTCTGATATTACTGCTAAATGCAATGGTTGAGGTGCTAGACTAGAAACCAGGAGACCAAGTCTTCTAGTCCTCTCTATATAAGCCAGCTGAATGACTTTGACCCAGTCACTTTCTCTCAGCCCAGCCATGTTGTTGTTGTAGGAAAATAAAGAAGCGAGCATTATGTGCATCACCTATGCCAATCTGAGATGGTATGGGTTCTCCTGCTTGAGCAGGGGGCTGGACCTCCAAGGTCCCATTCTATTGTATTCTATTCTATTCAAGTGGGGTATAGCTCTAATAAACAAACAAAAAGTATCCAACTCAAGCATTAGCTTACATGAATAGACAGCTAAACTACTTATTTTAGTTAACAATCAGCCCTGGATTAACCAATAAGCAAAATAAGCATAGGCTTAAGATACTAATTGAAGAGAGGCACCACAGGGTTTTATCCCCCACTCAAGCTCATTCACTACTACAACTGACTTTGGTTTTCAGCACTTATTAAGTGTCTTAAGCCAGTTAAGCAATGGAAGGGCCAAGGGGCACCATTATTCAGCTATACTTAGGGTATTACATGCCTTAATCCAGCCCTGCTAAGAATTGCTGAGGGATCAACCTCATTATTAAATTTGTGCTAAAAAACCTACAACCTACCAGCCAAAAACTTTCTTTGAAAAAAAAATAAGGACGCATTCTACGAATTATGGATAGGACAACTCCATTTTCATTCACTCTTAATTATTTAAATGTTTAGCAAAAAGTCTGTTTTCTGAAAATTACTGCTTTTATTTCTATGTACTTTAATGCATGTTTAAGTTGATTGATTAAAATGTTTCGTTAGCCATCTTTTGACTAATTAGAAGACACTTATCTATACACCAAACTGTACAAAATAATAATCTTAGCAACAAGGGAATGTTTCTTGAGCCTAAATGATTTACTCTGTCTGTCCATTCATCCATGCATCCATCCAAATTTAGGAAAAGAAACTAACCCCTTCCAAAAAGTAATAAGAAAATGTTCATATCAGATCATTTCACAGAGATATCAAGTCAATTGACTATCTCTGCCATATTAATACCCGAGTTCTTTGAAGGAGCATGCTCATTTGGACCAGTTGTTTCGGGAATATTGCATAAATATTAAAACTGCTAAGTACATTAATAATTTACAGTATCTACAAATTTGATCCCTAAGGTTGCACTAGAAAGCAATGAACAGCCATGCAGAATACATAAAACATTACGTTCACTGGAAGGCATTTTAAAAAATATTTTAGAATTCCATTTAAAATTCATGAAGCATTTCCAGGAATATAGATATTACTTCCCATATTTTACTGTATGTTTAACCCATCAGGGAATAAGGTGGTTCTGGACTGGAAAAAAATCAAAGTAATCATAACCTCACATAATCTACTGCAATGTACTTAAGCCAAATAAACAATAGCATGCTTGGTGTCATAATTCCCTTTCCTTATCCAATGAAATTGAAAGGAAATCTTTCAAAACCTTTCAGTTGTTTTTTCTAAACTGTACTATGACACTTTGCTCAAATATAGGGAAAAACATTCCTATATGCCAGGGCAGCAGGAATAACATCAGATATTGAATGTCTTAAGAATGTTCTCTTTCATTCTCATTATGAAACATATTACTTGGCATTAAAAGTACAAACTTCATAATTTATGAAAACGATGATTTCTTGGAAAAACACTACAGAATAATATATTTTTCAGATATGGTACAGTATTAAAGAAATTGTTATAATAAATTTTGTGAGTCAGTACAGTCATAAATTCATGTTTGATTCAAGTAAAAGAAATAAAAGGTAATTATTTTCTATTGAAAGCACTTAGAAAATTGCACAACCTGACCTGTACTGTATACTAAAGATTCCAGGGTTCTGAAAGTGGCATGATTTCCTTAGTTTTCACTGACTTGTACTGATCTACACTATTAATCTGTTTATAGACATACCTTCCTAAAAACATTGCTGAACCCTACTGTATAGCAATTACTAGTGACTCATGTGCGTGTACAACTCAGCAGGCATATGAGAGGTGTTGAGGAAAGCACTGTAAAGTATTATGTGATTAATTATTATAAGGAATGGTAAGGAAAAGTATTAATAAGCTAGGCTGTTTGGTTGGGACTTTATTCTATGTATGTATTTTCTCCCATTTGGGGAAAGAAGTAGGATATCACACATCTGTTTAATTCTTGATTCCAATGCTTGGCATTTAAAGTCCTCAAAAAACAGATGTTATTAAGAAAAGTGTATTGTTTCACACTTTATTTGACAGAGATTAAAAATAGTTTAGATATATTTTATTTAAATTCACTGAGAATACTTAAAAAAATGCCTCCAAATAGCTATAAACTGAATAAACAGTTTTTACTTAACCAAATATAAAGTGTGTGAATGTGTATATTTTCAGAAAGTGCTAAAATTCCTTGTAATGTTTTTGTTCATTTTGTGAAAGTGTTCTAGAAATGTTCACATTTCCTTTCCTTTGCAATCTGTTCCTGTGGAAAAAAATAGTGTCATACAGTTCAAGGAGATAAAATTTGGCTATAGCATCGGAAAAAGAACAACCATCGGTCTCCCCTTTCTATATATTATAAATCCAAAATGTATTAGATAAGTATATTCTATGCCTTATTGATCCCAAAGGGTTTAATGTAGTTAAATACATTTTCTGTCAAAGTTTCTAAAATGCAAGAGAGAATTTTGTTTTAAAAAATGCAAGTTCAAATGAATAACTAGCAAAACTATAACCAAGTTCCTAAGGCCAATATTGTATTCTCAAATACTTCCAAATAACCCAGTCTGAGGGTAATCACTTGTAAACAGCCACAATCTGGTAGCCACCTGCAGATTATTTCATAGAAGACTTATTCTGCATAGTAAGCCATTGACTTCACTGTCCTCTCTATGTCCTCCCTTCACCTCCTCCCTGGCTCCCCACCATTATAGTTACATAATTCTGTAGAACTTCATGAATAGGGTTGACACATTTTGGTAAATATTTATAGTGTAAAAATCCATAAACAAGAAGGAAAAAGTTTGTTTTTATTTTTTTAAAAAACATTGCGTCATTCAAATTTTCCAGGGGAAAACTAGTTTTTAAGGGCAAATAATATCTTTAAAATACTCCATTATGAAATATTAATATATAAATTATTAATATCAATATATAAATTACTAAAATATTTATATTTTAATAAGTAGCTGCTTAATTAATTCATGACCAAATTGGTAGGTTTTTTTAAAAACAAAAACCAGAAAATTGCTCCTGCTGAGATTCAGACTTTATCTCTCATTTATCTCTATTAATGGCAATGGACAAAAAACCTGCATTCTTTTAACGACTTAGGCTTAAATTTATAGGATTAAGTATATCTGATAAGGAAACTTAATTTCAGTAATGTTCTCAGTTGTAATTTTTCTTCTATTCCACAAAGTGGTGGTGATTTCCTTTTCTATACAAAGATCAACAAAATAGTTATCATTGCTCTTTATTCTTTAATTGAAAAAAACTGTCATTTAAACAGGGACAGAGTAATATTCTTATCTTCCAATAATTCCCTTTCTGAAGCATCAGCATTCAACGTGACAAATTTGGTAATCTGGTGGCTGAGAGCACTAAAAAAAAGCAATGCCACATATAATTTAATAAAGAATAGTAAAGAAATAGCTGTAGTAAAACTAATGAGTCAATTCAACTGGATGGTTAATCCAGCTAAAACAGCAAGAAATTAACTCCCTATTGTATCTGAACATGAAACTTTTAGATCAGAGGTCCCCAACCTTTTGGGCACCAGGGACTGGTTCTATGGAGAGAGGTTTTTCCATGGACCGGAGAATGCGTGGTTTTGTGTGGGGCTTTGCTTGTTTATGTGGATCGGTTGTTGGCATGCCGCAGCCCAGTACTGGTCCACGGACAGGGGGTTGGGGAGCCGTTTTAGATAACTCTGAATTCACAAGTCACCCTGAAGCCAAATAATTACCATCAGGCTCTAGGAAGGCAACAATCTGAAACTGGTGACCACATCTAGCTTAGTATGATTCAAGATCTGCCTGCACAAAAAGTATGATGGGGATGGACTTTACCTCAGATTTTATGGCAGGGGTCCTCAATCCCCAGGCTGTGGCCGGGGCCTGTTCAAAACTGGGCCACACAGCAGCTGGCCAGCACGTGCACATGCACTGCTCAACTTGTGTGGGCAATGGGCTGGAACGCACACATGCAGCTCAACTTGCATACGCCTGTTTTCCTCTGCCCCCTACCGTGCTGCCAAGCTGTAAAAGTTGGGCACTGCTGCCTTATGGATATGCTTATGGTGGCATAAAACATAATCATTTAAAGAAGCAACCTGCCCTAATTTCTTTCTAAGTAGTGCCACTGCTGATTTAAACATTAGTCTCTTGGCAGTCTTCAATATTGCATTAACAAAGAATAAATTTCCTAACTATGAATGCTAGAAAATGGGAGTTCCTGTATCTGTCAACCGTCCCAGTTCTTGTTATTCAAGACTGAGAGGGGAGGAGGGAAAAAAAGCATGACAAGATGGCTAAGGGAGTTCAGAAGAATCCTGTTGTTTATGCTAAAATTTGCCCCTTTTTTCATATTTATGATGTCCCTCAGCTTACTCACCCTTTTCTCAAATATTCCCTCTGCTTTCCTTGTTAAGCAAGTTCTGGCTTCTGATGAATTAACAAAGGTTTCAGAATAGCTAGTGCAGGGGTAGGCAACTTTGGCTCTTTTATGACTCGTACTTCAACTCTCATAGCTGGCTCAGGAATTGTGGGAGTTGAAGTCCACAAGTCATAAAAGAGCCAAGGTTGCCTACCCCTGAGCTAGTGAATGTTACTTCTGTAACAATCTGAAATCAATTACTGAAATGTCTATGTTTGTCCAGACAAATCTACAACTCGCCTCTAGAAGTTGTGGATGCTCCAACACTGCAAGTTTTAAAGAAGAGATTGGACAGCCATTTGTCTGAAATGGTATACGGCAGTGATGGCGAACCTTTTAGAGACTGAGTGCCCAAACTGCAACCCAAAACCCACTTATGTATCGTCGAGTGCCGGGTGGGTATGGCCCATTGGCTGGGTGTGGCCCATTGGCTGGGTGTGGCTGCAGTGGTAACGAAAGACTGGGTGGGACTAAACAGTTCAATCAATTCCAACTTTGCAAGATCTTTTTTTTTCCCGTGAGAAGTTGAAATCGACTGAACCTTTTTTTTTTTTGCACACGTCGGCGGAGGCCTAAAGCGAAAAGGTTTTATAAAACCCAGCTGAAGGCCTAGGACTGGGACGACGGCGCCCGTGCCCACAGAGAAGGCTCTGAGTGCCGCCTCTGGCACCCGTGCCATAGGTTCGCCACCACTGGTATACGGTCTCCTGCCTGAGCAGGAGGTTGGATTAGAAGACCTCCAAGGTCCCTTCCAATTCTGTTACATTCTATTAAACTATGTTAAACTTCAAAAACAATATAACCACACAGTGGGAATGAGTCATTTAAGTCGCTGAATCAGCTAGCTAAATTGACATAAAGTATTTTCTTTCACTTGGCAAATTTTATTCTCTTCAACATCTGGACTTTCTCAGGTTCTACCAATTCTTAGCCCTTCTTTTAATTTAGCTATTTTTCTTAAATATAGTTTTCATACTTATATGTGGGAATATTTTAGGCATAGGCTTGTTTCTTGTGAAATGTGATAGCGCTGACATATTGAAACAGGCAAGTAAAGTTTAAGAGTGAAAATAATCTTACCTAATATGAAGGCCACAACGTAATTTGAAATCTGCCCCATGCCAACTATAAGAAAAAGCACTGTGAACATTTCCCAGCTGGTTGAGAAGATCTGAAGGAAGCTGAAACCTGTCTGCACACCCATGGTTGCAAATAGAATAGCTTTTCTGCCAAACCTTTTGGGGAAAAGAAGAACAAGCAAGCCAAAAAATATATAAATTAAATCAGAATATAATTATTGTTTGCTTTTAGGAAGAGCAAATAGGTCCACCCAATCTCCCCTTTATTTTTCAGTAGACAGTAGATTTCAAAGAAATATAGGTACATTATCATGTGAACAGATTTAGCAACAGAACTTTCAATGTTATCTATGCCTGTATTACTCAAACTTAGTTTAGAGGTTATTCTACTCCATTCTCCATTGTTACCTGGATCAAACACAAAAGGATATAGCGGGAAAGGGGAATTTTTCTAACCAAATAAAGGGAAAAACTAATCCAAATTGAAAACAATCTGTAGTTAGAATCTCAGGCACTCTGAATCCAGTTGCTAAGTTGCTCTTAATATGAATCTAGTAATGGCAGATTGACATGCAAATTTAAATGGTAATCTACCCATTGTGTTCACCAAACCAAATAAAAAATAAAAACCAAACATGTTAACACAAATTTAACAACCAAATATTTTTGGATGACTACAAAAAATACAGATGAAACTTAAGAGTAGCAAAATGCTCAGTTAGTAGTATTATGTAAACATTAACTTAAAAAAAAAACTGGCTTGCCTTTCTCAGTAATATATTGAGATGAACACATGGTGGCAGTATACGGTATTACCTTCACTATACATATGACTGATTTTTGTTTATGGAGACTTCAATCATCCAGCATTTCCAACTGTCAGCTAATCTAACCTTCAGAAATATTGCACTGGAACTCCCATCTCCATATTAGATGGGAATGGTGAAAGCTGTAGTCCATCACTTCTGATAGGTTAGAGAAGACTGTTCTGTGCTAGGCAGTCTTACAATGGACTGGTTGGAACTTAGAAATAAATAGCGTATGATACTCTACTTGGTTTGTATTAGAATTGCACAAAACTGATTCCCTAAAGGGAAAACTATTACATTGAAATAAATGCACTAAAGTCCCAGAGGAGAACAGTTTTTTAAAAAAGAAAATGTGCAACAGGGGAAAGGTTAAGCATATATTTCTTATTTAGTTATCTGTCCCAAACCAGTATTCCAAGATTAATCTTCAATCAGAAATGTTTAGTGTTTTTTTTATTCTCACAGCTTTCCTATAAAAAGTGACAAGCAGATTGTGAAAAACTTCTGACAATGGCCTACAGCAATCTCTTTTATTTGAACTTAATTGCTAGTACTAATATTGAAATTCATGCATATCTCATACAGGTGTACAAATATGTCACACTTATAGATGTGTAGAATGCAACTAGTTTATGAAGATAAATATATAGCTCGGTTGTCTACTAACATATATTCCCATGAATGTTTGATTTCAGTTCATATTTTCAAAGTTGGAATTAACCATCAAGTTAAGCATGATTCTGAATCCTCTTAAGAGCATTACAAAAATATGTTTAAAACCCACACACACCCATAGGCTATTTTTAAATATGTGTACTTTACTTGTCTGAGAGTTGTCCAGATATAAAAGATCCAAGCAGCACACCCACAAAGAACAAAGATGTAGTTAGAGGAGCTTTCCAATCATTGTCACATACGAGATTCCACTGTAAGAAAACAAAACAAAGCAAACTTAATGTCATTTTGCAATGATTTAAACTATTTAATAAGTACAATAGTGGAGTATGAATTGGCAGTAGAAAGCTAGGAAAAATAATGAAAAATTGTTATTGAACAAATAGAGATCATTCTGAACAGATAAACAATTTGATGTATTGCTGCATATAATTAGCATCTAAATGTTTTTTTAAAATTAGTTCCTTATTAAAAATGTATTGCCTGTTTTGCATCTGTGAAGATGAAATCAATATTCCAGGAATCTGGGCCAAATGTATTTCAATACAAGTAGAGTAAACAGAGAAATTCTGACCCACAGATTTTAGTCCCACAGAGCTTGGATTACAACCTTGCATGAATCTTGTTTGCAGAATACAAACATACAGTTGGAAATATCAACCAGAGGTCAAATCACTTGGAGCAAAGTGGAAAATATCTACTCCTTTCTATGTTGGGTAAATATCCTGCTTGGATATTCTACCTACGATATTTTCCATAGATGCAACAAAAAGTACTACAGGAGGAAAAGTATGGGTTTGTTTCCAGTTTCCACAACCTCCCAGATTATGGATTTAAGATTAAAATTAAAAAGAAGCCAGAAATGTAATCAGAATAAATATATATACTATCATTCTACTGCAGTCTATATCTGATCTCAAGATGGACGATATCAACCAAAGGCAAAGAAAGGGAAGGGCCTTGCATATTAATTCTCATGTAAAATTGTTTAAAATAATAATTTGTTAATCCATCTGACCTCCCTTATACTACTTGGAGAACCCTGCATAGTTTGAGAGTTGGAGTACCTATGTGTAAAACCAATGCACTCAAGTGGAGGCTCTTAGTAGATAACAATATGCTGTCTGAATGTGGAGACCCAGAGCCCAGCTCATCTGCTGATATGTTGGCTTCTATCAGAAACCTATATCGATAATCTTTGCCCAATGACAAAACCAGGAAGGTGGTTTTAGAAGTTTAAAGTTTGACCTAGACTCAGAAGAAGAATCCATCTGTGCTAGACAATCAGGTAGAGATCCAAGTCTTACAGATGAATTTCATATTCATGTTCTACAAAACTAACAGAGCTATTTATGAAGAAAGATTGTGCAGGGCAGTAAGTGTTAAGTAGTCTCTGTCTCTCCTAACAAGTCTCTCCTTAAGTTGAAATCAATTCAGGAGACTGGATGAAAACTTCCTGCCTTTGGGAGGATGGGGATAGATTTCCAAACCTAAAAACATATAGCCAAAAAAAAAAAAATCAAATCAAGATGAAAACAATTAAGGGACCAGAAAACGGGGGGGGGGGGGGGAAAAAANAGTACAAATGAGAAGCAGACTGGACAGTGATAAACATTTTAAAAGCCAACAACAGGAAATTAAAAGCAGTGTTGTCTGGAACAAGTCTTTAGTGTTTTCTAAAAATATTTAGAGAGGGAGCATAGCAGAAATGGAATCCTACAATCATGGGCAAGCCACTTATCGGCAGGCTGTTATGAAAAGGATCAGAGGATGTGATCATTCTCATCTTACGTGTTGGGTGGGTTCATATCAGAAGACCTGCCTTTAAAATAATCTAATGCTTAGTCCTTTAGGATATTTAAGGTTAACATTAGCCCTTTAAACTGGGTTCAGTAATTATCATCTGGGTTCAGATCTTATACTCACACATACATTATTTCTTTCCAAGGTGTCTGAATGATACCTTTTTTTTTCTACAGAGACATTACGTAAATCCAGAATCCATATAGCTAATATTTTCAGTATGCAGTTGATTTTATCCACCAAGATGAAAAAACTACCTGCATACATAAGGTTAATCTCTCTCTTCCAAGCAGTTAGTTCACATTCTCGGGTGAATATTATAAAAGAAACTACCACAGAATGAGTACTAGATGCCCTGTTAAAAATCCCTTCTCAAAGTTTTAAAAGGATATTATATGAGCTTCTACAAAAAGTAATCAGTGCAGGTGGACAGTTTGTTATGAATTATATTTTCTATCTGTAAGATGCTTCATTCTCAAGAGATGGTGGGGACAAAAAAGTAGGAGTTAGGACAAAACAATTTCTATTTGCTGAGTTAGTCCTTTGTTTAAAAAACCCAGCACAACCTGTACATAGCAGATGGCTTCTAGGTAGGAGTCAGTGTATTGTGTCAGCATCATAGCATCTCCTATAGGCCCCACCCTCCTCTTATACAGGCATCAAGACATTCCATGCATTCATCCAAAGTGTGGAGGTTGCATCACAAGACCACTTTCAACATTCTCAATAAAGCAACAATAGCTTGCAGGTAGCCCTGGCTGACAGCCATGTAGTTTGTTTTCACTTTTAAGGAGGCATAAACTTTGACTATATAGGAAAGTATTATATTTAAATATTAACAATATAAAATCATTCCTCTTCTATTTCTTACAGTAATTAAAGACACACCCAGACTTTCGAATCAACTCCTAACTTTCTATCAGATTATCAAGTGTCTGGCTAGAAGAGATGTGTGTCACCATCTAAAATGAGTGCATGCCTGAATCATCATATATTGTACTTTTAAAATGTTTCCCTTAGTCATAAGGCTAATTTGTCCCATACAAGCAGTATTTTTCACATATATTTCTCAGAAAACAAACAGTACATTAAGCAACATTAATCTGAAAATCAAACAAGGCTACTTGATCATTGTAATTCTTTCATTTTAAAGAGTGAAAGTTTTAAATAAACAGCTGACCAAATAATTGAAGTTGGCATATATTGTCAAGGATGAATGGAAAATTCTATTAAATGCTGAGTTTGACACATCCAAACTTCTACCTTAAAATTATAAAAGTACATTAAAAGTATTACTGGACTGTGTGAAATCTACATAGATGGTGCATTTTCAGTGGGCAAACATGATCCTTTTTTCAAATCTTCTACCTGAATGCAACCCAACAGAAATTTGGTCAGCCTGAAAGAGAAATTAAAAAATCCTAGACATGAGTAAATGATAATGATACAACTAGCAATGAAAACTGATTATAAACATAGGCTTACAGTTGTTCAAATCTAAGTGGTATTATTAGCATCCTACTTTTTATTAATTCGCCCATCACCCAAAGCAATCCAAGGCCATTTATATGTCTATATCCATGCTCTTGCAGCCAGCAGGAAACAAAAAATATATAATCCATTGAACTAAAACACTTAATTATCACTGTTCTAGATCTGATTGTTGCCAAGATGAAGGCTGAAGTAAAAAACATGCAAAGCAAACAAGTGTCCACCCTGTTTTGCAGGTTATTTAGCCAGAATGATAACTTAAAATGAAGCTATTTAACATGTGGAGACACATGGAACATAGAATATATATTAATGGCCTTAGCAAGAGATTCAAGGGCAAGCCTTGGATAAATAAGTAACTTTCTTGCAGATATCAAGAAGTTCTAATTGCAACAAAGGTCAGATTTTACAGGGTCTAAGAATCTAGCTCTCTCCACGTTTCTGTCCTCGATTTATTCCTGAATTTCTTTCTCATACCTTATTGACTTTACAGTACCAACTGCTTGCTACCCGGTTCACGGTGGCACCTCTGTTATGTCTACCAAATAATACTGTCTGTCTCAGAATCCTTATTCCTTCCCTTGCCAGCTAAAAGCGGCGTTGTTCTTACCTGAACGCCTTTTCTCAGCAGAGTGGTGTAGAGTCCACAGGATGAGTCCACAGGATGGGTTATTAATGCAATCCTGCTTAGCAGAGAACTAAGGTAAGAAAAAAACTCTAGCCACGCCTCCCTCTGGGTGTTCCTTCCCCAGTTTTTGGCACAGGTCGAGGCGCAAAATGCAGACGCAAAGCTCCAAATAAGAGAAAAGAGGAAAGAAGCAAAATAACACATGTCTAGACAAGAAATAACAGGGGGGGATGTGGACTCTACACCACTCTGCTGAGAAAAGGCGTTCAGGTAAGAACAACGCCGCTTTCTCCAGCAGATGGTGGTGTAGAGTCCACAGGATGGGACATACCAAAGCNGCTCATGTCCCTGAAGGGAGGGAGTCTAGGCATGTTCAACAGAGGGAGCGACTACTTGCTGCAGTACCCGTCTCCCAAAGGCCGCATCTGCCGCAGCAAAGCGGTCTATCTTATAATGTTTGATGAAGGAAGAAGGGGACGACCACGTCGCCGCCCTGCAAACCTCCTCAAGCGAGGCCTGAGTGGACCAGGCCGCCGATACCGCGGCACTGCGCGTAGAATGAGCAGTGACCTGAGAAGGCACCGGAAGTGACTGGGAAGAGTACGCCTTGGTAATACAGGCCCTGATCCAACGACCAATGGTGGAAGAGGACACCTTCTTCCCCAGGGTAGAAGGATGGAAGGAGACAAATAGGGCTTCCGATTTGCGGAAAGCCGAGGTACGGCTGAGGTAGTGACGCAGGGCCCTGTGCACATCCAATGTGTGCCACCCCTTCTCCAGACGGTGAGAAGGATTGGGACAGAAATTTGGCAAGACCAGTTCCTGAGATCGGTGAAACCCAGTGTTGATCTTGGGTATAAATGTTGGGTCCAATCTGAGGACCACCCTGTCCTCATGGAACATACAGAGATCCTTCCTAACCGATAGAGCGGCCAGCTCAGAGATCCTCCTGGCCGATGTAATGGCCACTAAAAAGGCGACCTTCAATGTAAGAAAATGTAAAGAACATGAACCTAAAGGTTCAAATGGAGAAGAGGTCAACGCCCGAAGCACAAAGGGCAAATCCCAGGACGGGTAACGATGAGACGTAGGAGGACCCGTATTTGCAGCCCCCTTGAGGAAGGTACTAATTGCTGGATGGTGAGCCAGGGATCCCTGATACTCACAAGAGAGGACAGTTGACAGGGCCGCCACCTGTCTACGTAAGGTGCTGACCGATAACCCTCTATTAAGGCCTTCCAGTAAGTATTCCAATATGTTTGGAACAGTGACGGAAAGGGGAGATAGGCCCCTTGAGTTGCACCAAGAGCAGAAATTTCTCCAGGTGACATCGTAAATCCTATTGGTGGAAGGTCTTCTAGAGGCCTGGATTACAGATATCACCCCTGAGGAATATGATAACTTAGCTAGACCCTCCCGCTCAAGTGCCAGACGGCTAATTGGAGCCACTGAGGGTCCGGGTGTTTGAGGTTCCCCTGACTCAGGGCTACTCGGTCCGGAGGGATTCTCCACGGAGGAGAAAGCGAGAGATCCACCAGATCCGCAAACCACGGATGACGTGGCCAGAACGGGGCGATCAGTATTACCTCCGCTTGTTCCTGTAGGAGCTTGCGAATGGTCGCCGGGAGCAGAGGGAGAGGAGGAAAGGCATAGAGAACGCCCCTGGGCCAGGGACTCTGTAGGGCATCCGTCCCTTCCGCCCCTTCCGATCTGAACCTGGAAAAGAACCTTGGGATCTGTGTGTTTGCCGGGGAAGCAAAGAGGTCTAGGACTGGTTGCCCGAACCTGAGTGCTGCCTCCCTGAACAGGAATGGATCTAGCTTCCATTCCGAGTGGTCTATGGTGGCTCTGCTCAGGGAGTCCGCTTGTAAGTTGTTCACCCCCGAGATGTGATCTGCTCGGATGGATTTCAGGTTGGTTTCCGCCCAGAGACCCAATGCCATGGCCTCCTGCATGAGAGGCCAAGAGTGGGTCCCTCCCTGTTTGTTTATGTGCGCTTTTGCTGTGATGTTGTCCGTCAGGACTAGAATGTGTTTCCCTTTTACCAGGGGAGAGAATTCCCGGAGAGCCAGGTGAACTGCTCTCAGTTCTAACCAGTTTATATTGTGGGTCAGATCCGACCGTGACCATCGACCTTGGGCAAGGTGATTGTGGATATGAGCCCCCCAGCCGAAAAGGCTGGCGTCTGTGGTCAGGGTGATCCTGGACGGCTCCTTGAAGAATGTACCCCTGGAAATGGCGGAAGAAGTCTACCAGATTAGGGATACCAGCGTCTGGTGTGGAACCCTGACCCTTGAATTTGATGCACTGAGGTTGTGTCTCTGATATGGAAGAAGGAACCACTGGAGACTCCGGGAATGAAGTCTGGCCCATGGCACGATGCCTAGGCAGGATACCATCTTCCCTAGGAGTTGTGAGAGACGCACCAGGGGTACCCACTTGTCCTTGCGGACCTGGAGTGCCAATGTCCGGATGCTGACTTGACGCTCCGGAGAAAGATAAACCTCGCAGAGGTCTGAGTCTATTAAGGCTCCTAGATGTATAAGCCGCTTTGTAGGGACCGTGTGGCTCTTTCCATAATTTACGGAAAACCCGTGATCTTGAAGAGTCCGCAGGGTAATCTGTAGGTCCGACTCTGCCGAGTGAAGGGACCTGGACAATACGAGTATGTCATCCAGGTAGCACTGGACACGCACCGGCCTCATCCGTAGATGAGCCGCCACTACTGCCAGGACCTTCGTGAAGACCCGGGGGGCTGAGGACAGGCCAAAGGGAAGGGCCCGATACTGGTAGTGCCTGTGGGCGTAGGCAAACCTCAGGAACCTGCGGTGTTCTGGCAAGATTGGAATGTGGAGATAGGCCTCCGTCAGGTCGACGGAGAGGAAATCTCCCTTCCTGACGCTTGCCAAGATGGATTTTAGGGTCTGCATCTTGAATTTCTTGTAAACAAGAAATCGGTTGAGACCCTTCAAATCCAAAATGGCTCGCCAGCCCCCCGAGGCCTTTGGGACCACGAACAGTATCGAGTAAAACCCGGTCCCTACCTGATCTGAAGGGACTCTTTCTATGGCCCTGATGTCCAGCAGATGGGTGATCGCTGTTGTTACCAGGGAGGCCTTTGACCGATTTCTTGAGACCGGACACTGAATGAAACGGTCTGGAGGGTGCGACTGAAATTCTAGGGAGAGACCATGTCTTATGGTCTCTCTGACCCAGGCGTCTGTGGTGGTGCCCTCCCAGACGTCGCAAAATAGGGCCAGCCGACCCCCGATGGGACAGTCCCCCTCGGCGTCATTTGGAATGCCTAAAGGGTCGCCCTCCTGAGCCCCTGAAGGGACGCTTGGACTGGGACTGGCCCCTGGCTCCTCCACTCTGGCGGTCCTGCTGGCGGTCTTGCCTAGGAAGGTAGGACCGTGAGCCTCTGGGCCAATCCCAGGACTGCCCCCCCCGAAAGGGCTGTCTCCACTCCCAAGAGTCACCCGAGCGAAAGGATGACCTACGGTAGCCGGATTGAGGTCTCCTATCAAATTTCTTTGAAGGGTGGACCAAGATTTTACGCTTGTCCTTGCCCTCAGATACGTGAGGGTCAAGGACAGCACCAAACAGGGTCTTACCGCTGTACCTGGACGTAGAGAGGCGCCACTTCGATTTGAAGTCCGTGCGCCATTGTTTTAGCCAGAGGAGTCTTCGCGACGCCGTGGCAGCAATGGAACGAGCTGAACATTTGGCGGAGTGTAGAGAAGCATCAGCTACGTATTCCGACGCAGCTATTATCTTACCCAGATTCTGATGGGCTCTGACCTGGTCAGGTGAAATAAGCGTCTGAAGGTCCCGCAGCCACGATTGCAGCGCGGGCAAAGAAGGAGGACGAAGTGGCAGACCGTATTGCCCAGGCTGAAGATAGATGAGCCCTGCGGCCCAGGAATTCGAACTTCTTATCCTCCGCCTTTAAATACTGAGCCATGTCCCCTGGAATGGCGTTGTTAGAGAACAGAGAGGCCAGCGGAGCATCCACGGAAGGAACCTCTAAAAGGGATGCAAAGGAAGAAGACACGTTATACAATTTCCTATCCAAACCGCTAGGTGAAGGCGTGGAGGCAAGAGAAGCCCATTGGTTCTCCACCGTAGACCTGAATACGG